TGTATTAGGGTCCCAGACGACACTACCATATTCCAAGATTTGCCTAACGTAGGTTTTATAAGCAACCGTTTTGATCTCTTTAGTTGTATGTTTTAACTTGTGTCTCAAGAAACAAAGCTTTTTATATGCCGATGTGCAGACGGTGTCAATATGCTTGGTCCAGGTTAGGTCTTTAGAAAACGTGAAACCAAAGTACTTAAAGTGCTCGACATTACTCAATTCTATGTCTCCAATGCAGCATTTAAATGGCAAAACGCTTCGTTTCTTCGTGATATGGCAATACACGGACTTTGTGTAGTTTATTTTCATATCCCATTTGTCACACCATTCTTTAATGCGTTTAAGATATTCATTTAGTGAAGTTTGTCGATCGGTTGAATTAACAGCTGAGTAAATAATACAGTCATCGGCGAAGAGCCTTATATAAATGTCTAATGGAGTGTCAAGTACTATGCCTTTTATATATATTAAGAACAGAAATGGCCCCAAGACAGAGCCTTGGGGCAAGCCCGAGTAAACTGGAAGAAGGTTTGAGACGTGGCTGTTAATTTCTACATACTGGCTTCTTTCTTTTAGTTAGATATGACTTTATCCATCCGGTAATTGTTGAGTGAATTCCGATTGTTTTGAGCTTTAATATTAGTTTCCTGTGAGGCACGCGATCAAAGGCTTTAGAAAAGTCTATACAAATAACATCAACCTGTTTTTTATCATTAAGTGTGGAAGCTATGTCATGGGTTACCTCAACCAGTTGCGTTATTGTCGAAAGTCCAGATCGGAACCCATGCTGAACGGAATAAAGCAACTTGTTAGTTTCAAGGTGATGAAATATGTGTTTTGCTATTATATGCTCCATGACTTTACATGCTACAGCTGCTAAAGGGATACTACAACGAAATTTCGGTGCTCATTTTTTGGTCTATATGTGTTCAAAGGAGAAGCATCACATCGAACATACCAATATCTTGTTAAAAAAAGTCACGAAAATGAATTTTAAAACGAATTAAACGATCAGCAAAGAGCACCTGGTGGATGTCGCTAACGCCTCGTTTGTAATGCCCGTCTAGGAACCTTGAGAGCTAGTGACGGAGGTTGTCTCGCCTCCGGTCACGACGAAAGAAGAGGGGCAGGAGGAACTCCCCTCTTCCCGAGAATGCCTTTTTTGTGTCGCAGAAGTCGCTATTGTCTCCCAACAAGATTACAGAACATTAACCCGTCACTCCAAATTCGTACAAAAGCAGCCGCTTCGGTGGCTAGAACGACTAGGCCAACCTCTCGACGTCAGCCTCGCCGTAGCTTTGCTCGTCCTGAGACGACCTACGTCACGATTGCGTTGGATGTCACGTGGTCTCCTCTGGGACTTCTCCGAGCGCTTGCCAGAGTGGGCCGTTTATAATTAAAAATACAGCCACCAGGCTCAAAATACAAACGTGCGATTGTCATTTACGGATATTGTGGATCATATTCAACCTATTTCTGAACTCGACGGGAATATTTCAAATTTCGTTGAATTATCCCTTTAAAGAAATTGGCCTGTAGTTGCCTATGGCCAGTCTATCGCCCGTTTTAAAGATCGGGACAACACGTGCACGCCGCCAATCAGAGGGAAGCTGCGATGACTATAAAGAACTTACAAATACAAATTGTAAATAAAACAAAATCCATTCCGCATACCTCTAGAAAAAAGTAGTCGGTATCTTATCTGGACCACATGCTTTCTTTGTGTCGAAGTCTAACAGTTTTGACAGAATTCCTTCTTTTGTTATTGTCAGGTGTAGCATGGGTGTACGGTATCACTTATTCGATCTATCTCTGGCCCTGTTTCTATATTACCGACATTCTGTCCTGCCTTTCTTTTAGTCATGTTTTCCAAGTTACCCTGTGGTGTCTCGCGTGTAAATACTGACTCAAAAAACAGGTTAAAACTATTTGCAAGAACAGTGGTTTCTGTTACTACCTTTCCTCCCAGGGTGATTTGTTCAATATTTTCTTTTTTCGGGTTCAGGTATCGCCAGAATTTTTTGGGGTTGTTACGTAGGAAGTTTTGAAGAGTTACTGAAAGGTAATTATGTTTTCACTTTTTTTACCATTTCTTTAAGTTGTTGGCTTAGCCTGCCGTATGCAAACACTTAAATTATTCTTTTTTCTACATCTTTTCATTTTTCGTTTAATCTGTATTATATTTCCTGTAATCCAAGGATTTTTCCTCCTCGGCTTTTTCACTCTATTGGGTACGTATTTATCGATGCAATGAGAAACTGTGTCCTTGAAGTAATTCCATGCACGCTGAACATCACCACTACTAAACAATAACTCGAAAGAGTTGAATGATATTTACAAATGATCAAGAATGCCTGTGTCGTCGGCACCTTCATAGTCCTTGTACGTAAACTTGCTTGGTACTAAAGTCGTAGATTTTTTGTCACAATTTGTAAACAACAAAACCATGTTATGATCAGATATGTCATCAGCCACAAACAGTTTGTATTCACTAATATTATCACTTACAAAGATTAAGTCCAACACTGATTGACTAGTGTCAGTTACTCTAGTGAATTATTTCACCATTTAGGTAATGCTGTGGCTGAAGGCAATTTCGAGCATTTTTTCGCCATTCACTTTGTGCACACTTCCAGCTTGCAAAAGTTCCCAATTAACGGAAGGCAAATTAAAATCACCCGGGGCTGTTCGGGGAACGATATGCCGCGACAACAAGAAAATATGAGTCGCAATACTTTATTTTACAAAAGAGCATCTCATCCAAACAATGCTCTAAGACAATACAATGTAAATCACTCTTAACAGCAATAGCGACACCTCCTCCCCGAGAGCCCCTATTCTTTCTCATTAATTTGTGATTAGGTGGGATGACACAGTCACCCGTTACGTCGGGCGTAAGCCATGTTTCTGTTATACTGAGTATATGTGGTGCGTGACAGAGAAATACGCTTTTTAGGTCAATGACTTTGTTTAATATACTTCGTGCGCTTAAATTGATTACTCGGAGTTCGATCGGTGCGTATTCTTGCTTTTTTTTGTCGGGTGGTTCTCATTTGAACCCGTTCGCATTTTTACCTTCTCGTTTTTACCTTCTCATTTCAACCCGGCGCAAAACAACTTTCGCTTTTCTTCCTTTCTCATTTAAACCGTTCTCAAAACAAACTTTCGGGTTTTGACCCTTCTTAAAACGACTTTTCTCATTTTAACCTGTCTCATTTCAAATTTTCTCAAAACATACTTTCTGGTTTTGACCATTGTCAGAAAGACTTTTCTCATTTTAACCTCTCTCATTTCGAACCCAAATTAATCCAACATCATGATCTCGCAATCTTTCTGCGATAATTATGTCGAATTCGGGTAATTAATTGCCTTCGAGCTTTTGCCTGTTGCACTGGCGACCGAAAACGCGGCAGCGGCGCATCACGTGACCCTCTCCACCAGAATGCAAAGCGCAATGAACTTACGTTTTTATTTGACTGGGTCGCGAGTGAGCTCTGTTAACTTCTTCTTCGTCCATGAGAATGCTGCATACGCCAATAACATAAATTACGACTCTTCGAGATGTGTGTAAACAGAAGCGGCTTCACAAAACTTTTCAAAATATTGGCATTACCACAGTCCGTACAGCTGACAGAATATTAAAATATAAAATTATTGAAAGGGCAGATGTATAAATCAGTGTGGTGCTGCCCGCACGCGCGTCAAATTTCAATAAACTTCGTTTGAATTTGCGATTAACTGTTGCCACCGAGGCTTGCCAGCGTCGCTTTCCATATTCTGTTTACTGTTAGTAGAGAGTTTTAGTCGATCGTTCCCATGACTCCGATAACGATACCCAATACTCCGCCACCGCCTCCCTTGCGCATACATAGTATCGTTATCGGGGCTATCGGAGGTATCGGAACGATCTACTAAAACTCTCTAGTACCTTTTTTGGAATCCTCAGTCTTCTCATTGCACCCACCCTCCTTAAAATTGTAATGCATGTTCAAGTTTCAAACTGCATCACTATGCATACTTTTTTTTTTCAGCGGTGTAATAACTTGTTATTACAGAGTTGTAAAATAAAGTGATGTATGATGCAGCCCGTGTCTCAAAGCAAACATACCTTGCTCAGGCTGGATAAATTCTTCCAAAAATGTTGACTTTCTTTTGAAACATAAATTATCTTTCTGTTCGTTGTTTTTGCTCTCTTGTCTCAGAACACAAAAGGGTGCCTGTCTCTATGGCTTCGTTTGCCGTTCGAACCCGCTATTTGCCGCCTCAGTGAGCGTTGTTTCGTTTGGTTCCCTATCCCGATTCGGATGTGACGATACCAGATACAGTCTGGCAGACAAGCTGCCCGACCTCTTGGAGCTCGGGAAAACTTCTGCTGGTAAATTGCCGGTACACGCCTGAAAAGCGCAACCCGAAAAGCTTGCACCCGCCAGCCTTTGACCACGCGAACGCCCTTGCCGAAGATATGGGAAAACTTTTTTTCAGGGAAAATGACCACCCGAATTGGCCATTACAAGCAATAACACACGACTAGCACAACAATTCATCCGCTCCACAGGACGACAACTTAACGACATACAGCGACAGAAGAGAAATGAAGTACCGAATCTGCGCTAGCACTTTTGAAACCACGTCACCATGTGACCACGTAGCTACGTCAACAGACTGGGGGTGGCACGCAGGCATAAGGAAAATTGTTTCTCTCTGCTATGCAAAGGATGGTGCCGCTTTGCTTCATCTTCAACCTGCATCATCAACTGTTTTTCCTTCTTCAATTGGTTCAAATGAGAAGGGGTCGAAACGCGAAAGGTTAAAAACGCGAAGGGCGTTTCGCGAATTGGTTCAGACGAGAAGGGTTCAAATGAGAATGGGTTCAAACGAGACGGGTATAAATAAGAAAGGGTCGAAACGCGATAGGTTGTAACGAGAAGGGCGTTTTGCGAATGGGTTCAAACGAGAAGGGTTCAAATAAGAATGGGTTGTTTCGAGATACACCCTTTTTGTCACTTACCTCGTGCACTGCGGTTTCTTACAAGTACGCGTTGATGCTCCTTCAGGTCCCATTCATATGTCTGATTATTGATTTTAAGTTTATAGTGGACTAGAAACACGTCATCCCCATCCGCCCTGTTCGTCAAAGCGCTGTTCCATAGCTTTTTTTTTTTTTTCTCTCTGGTTTCCTTGGCATAATCGCTGCTAACACTGATAGTCGTTCCTTTCAACTTTTTGCAGTTCTTCAACACGGACAGCTTTTCGACGCAGTTAAACAGCTTCATGATAACTGGCCGGCATGATTCGTTTTGTTTGTATCCTAATCTGTGAATCCGCTCGAGAGGCATGACTTGAACACCAAGGTTAACGTCAAACAATTCTTTTATCACCTTCCGTTTCAAATCATCTTCGCTCTCTTTATCTTCTTCTGGCAGTCCGTATATTATCAGGTTGTTTCTACGGCTTCGAGTTTCGAAGTCAATCAGTCGATCGTTTTGATGTTGTATCGTTTCTTCTAGACTTTGAATCTTCTTGTTAATTGCTATCACGTTTTCATTCAGGCCTTGTACTGTTTTCATTGTGTTTTCAAGTGTATTGATTGTTTTGTTAATCTCCCTTATGCTATTCTCGAGACGTGACTGGTTAGCTTTCATATTCTCTAGGTTTGATCTAATTTCCTTAATGTCCTCGGCAATGCCACTTTGATTAGCCAATATCTGACGAAGCAATTCTTCGACATTTTCGTCACGCCCAGGGTTTTCCTCTACGTCTCCTGAGAGTAACAGTCGCAATTTACAGCCCAACGTTACAACGTACCAACAATCATACAGCATTTCACGGCACTTTTGAGGGCTCGGCAGGACTAACAAAAATCTACAATCGCTTCGGAACTCATGTAGATTTGTTGTATAACTAACCTGCGTGATGAACAAGGTGAATTTGAGCATCTTGCTCGCTGCGTGGACGCCGAGCCCTCTGACGCTGATCTCCTCCAGGAGATCAGCGAGAAACGCTGATCTCCTCGAGAAAAAAAAAAAAAAAAAACAAATATTGAAGGCCCTACTGAAAAAAAAAGAAAACATTTGGCGCCTGTATTAAAATAAACGGGTCCATACCGGTAACAGGTGAGCCATACCGGCCACCAGTTTGTCAAAGGGGTCGCCCGTATGGCTCAAAAGGGTCCCCCGTATGAGCCATAACGGTCACGTATTTGGGCAAACAGGTGACCTCTTTGGCAAACGGGTCACTCTTCTGGGCAAATGGGCGACGCGTTTGGGCAAAGTTGTCGCACGTTTGCTCAAACCGGTGACCATGTTGCACAGACGGGTGACCGCCCTACTGAAAAAAACCATTTGAAATTCAAACGGGTGGCAAACTGGTCGCCCGTTTGAATCAAACCTGTCGATCCGTTTGGATCAAACGTGATTATGGGATACGGGTACCCGTTTGGAAACGGTACCCGTTCGAAACGGTACCCGTTTGATACAGGTGCCCGTTTGATACGGGTGCCGTATGGTACGAGTACCCGTTCGACATGGCACGTGACCACACGTTTGAACGTGCCCTTCGAAATGGCAAATTATGCGCTAGCCCTAAATGGGTATCGTCTGGGAGGTTGGTTATCTTAAACATATTTAAGACGTCCCGAAACTCGTAAACGTATTTATCACATGGAGAAAACACGTAGAACAAATGCACTCGCGTAGGTGCTTGTAAGTGGACAGGCAAACCGACACAAAAGATTGTTTTCAATTCTCCTCGAAGTTTATTACCTCTTCTGTAGACAAGTACAAACGATCTGTGAACACTATACAGGTAGACTTTCGGGGAAATTATTCTCCTGGCTGCCGCGCGAATAGGCGCTGCATAATTCTTTAGATAATTTAGAAGAGTACGCGTAGAAGAACGGTCAATCGTTGCCAACACGTAGGTTGCAGTGCACTTACCATAACAAAAGCGGACTTGAAAGAGGTAATCCGTGATATTTGTCGACACGGTCAAAGCAGGACAACCACACAAACACAAACGAGAGGGACCGGCTCCTTGGAAGTTTCAACACGATGCAGCGCACAAGCTGTCATTTGCCGGACCCAACCAAACCGCGAGAATTTGCGACTTCTTTGAAGAATCGCTCGTTGCCGACATACTCGTGGGTCTTTTCGAACACTGATAGCTTTGGTGCACACCCAATACGTTGTCGAGAGGCGTCCCAATAAGACTGCAGGGTTAGGCGACAGATTGAAGCAGGTAGGACGAGCGAACTTCGAGCAGCAACTGACAACAAACAGACAAAGAAAAAAGCGGCTGCAAGGCGCGCCCTTCCGGATCTCGATGCTTATCAGCGTGTAGCTCGCGCGCTGCTGTGGGTCACGTGACAGGGGTGACAAGAGAGGAGGGAGGGGGCGAGGTCAAGGCGCTGGGACCACCGGGACAGCCCCTCTCCCTCTCCCCAGGCATTCCAGGGAGATGCGTTTTTGTAGTCCCGAAGAACAAACGCGCGCGCGCGCGCGCGCTCGAACTTTGGAAATGGCGGCGGGGCTGCCAGAAGCTCGGCTTGCGCCCGAGCGAAGAAAGAACTCAGCGCAAGCTCGTAGTTTGAGTGCTGCAACGGCGGGCGTGCTCTCGCAATGCTCGATGTTCTTGCAGCCGCGTGTACGCGTGCTACCTTCGCTGCGTCTTGAATTAAAGTGAAACGGAGTCTAGACGTACATTCTTTCACGCGGTCGCGTCTTCTGCGAGAGAGATTCGAGCTGAATAAGTAAATTGAGGCAACAAAGATGGACAAAGTATTAAAGTTCTGTCAAAAATATCGGCTCACCAACGTCGCGCGTTTACGTAAAAAAAAAAAAAAAAAAAAGGTGTTAGTTTTAGTTGCAGTATAATCGAAAATCAGCGCAATTGAAATATAAATATAATTACTTGCCTTACGCGGACGATCTGAAATCGATGAACCGGCGCTCCCAGCCTTCCGGAAAACATTGGCTGCCACGGCTGAAACGCTAGGCGTGCCCACGCCGCCGATCTGTACGTTCAATATCAAACGGGCTCCGGAGAGCCGTTTGATTAAACCGGTGCAGTTTGCAACATGGTCGCCGGTTTGAGCAAACGTGCGACAACTTTGCCCAAACGAGTCGCCCATTTGCCCAGACGAGCGACCCGTTTGCCAAAGGAGTGACCTGTTTGTCCAAATAGGGGACCGTTATGGCTCATACGGTGGACCCCTTTGAGCCATACGGGCGACCCCTTTGACAAACTGGTGACCAGTATGGTTAAACGTCTACCGGCATGGACCCGTTTATTTTCATATGGGCGCCAAATGGTTTTTTTCAGTAGGGCGGTGACCGGCATACTGTACCGGTTTAATCAAACTGCTCTCGGGAGCCCGTTTGATATTGAGCGTACAGATCGGCGGCGTGGGCCCGCCTGTTTCAGCCGCGGCAGCCAATGTTTTCGGAAGGCTGGGAGCGCCGGTTCATCGATTTCAGGTCGTCCGCATAATGCAAGTAACTATATTTATATTTTAACTGCGCTGATGTTCGCTTATACTGCAACTAGAACTAACACTTTCTTTTTACATAAAGCAGGACGTTGGTCAGCCGATAATTTTGACAGAACTTTAAAACTTTATCCATCTTAGTTGCCTCAATTTACTTATTCAGCTCGAATCTCTCTCGCAGAAGACGCGACAGCATGAAAGAATGTACTTCTGGAGTCCGTTTCACTACATTTCAAGACACAGCGAAGATCTTGAAATGAACATCGGTGGTTCTAATAACGTTGGTTGCAGAAGTCTAACAAGCTCGCGCTGATGACTTCTTTCGCTCAGGCGCAAGCCCAGCTACTGGCCGCCGCCATTTCTTGCTTTCGAGCGTACTGAAATGCGCGCGCGCGGGCGCGCATCTTTTTTTTTTTTTTTTTTTTTGAAACTACAAAAAGCACGTTTCACTGGAATGCCTGGGGAGAGGGTTTCGGGGCTGTTTCAGTGTCCTCCGCCTTCCACCGCACCCCTCCCTCCTTTTTTGTCACCTCTGTCACGTGACCCGCAGCAGAGCGCGAGCTACAGCTGATAAGCATCAAGATCCGGAAGGGCGCGCCTTGCAGCCGCTTTTTTCTTTGTCTGCTTGTCAGTTGCAGCTTGAGCTTCGCTCGTCGTACCCTGCGGTAGGGCGCGCCTAACCCTGCGGTCTTATTGGGATGTCTCTCGACGATGTCTTTGTTGTGCACCAAAGCTCTCAGTGTTCGAAAAGTCCTACGTGTATATCGGCAACGAGCGATTCTTCGAAGAAGTCAGGAATTCTTGTGGTTTGGTTGGGTTCGGCAAATGACAGCGTGTGCGCCGCATCGTGTTGAAACTTCCAAGGAGCCGTCCCCTCTCGTTTGTGTTTGTGTGGTTGTCCTGCTTTGACCGCGTCGATAAATATAGCGGATTACATTTTTAAAGTCCGCTATTATTATGGTAAGTGCACTGCAATCTACTTGTTGGCAACGATTGACCGTTCTTCTACGCGTCCTCTTCCAGATTACCTATAGAAGTATGCAGCGCCTATTCACGCGGCAGCCGGGAGAATAATTTCCCCGAAAGTCTACCTGTATAGTCTAGAAATCACCTCGGTTCTTATTTGATTTGCAATCTTGTCAGTTGTATAAAAGCTTAAAGTGATTCTCACATTTCACTGATCGCTTGCACGTTTATACTTGTCTACAGAATAGGTAATAAACATCGAGGAGAATTGAAAACAATCTTTTGTATCTGTTTTCCTGTCCATTTGCAAGCACCTACGCGAGAGCATTTGTTCTACGTGTTTTCTCCATGTTATAAATACGTTTAGGAGTTTCGGGACGTCTTAAATAAGTTTAAAATAACCAACCTCCCAGAAGATACCCATTTAGGGCCAGCGCATAATTTGCCAATTCGAATGGCACGTTTAAACGTGTGGTCACGTGCCAGGTCGAACGGACACCCGTATCATGCGGGCACCCGTATCATCCGGGCACTCATATCATACGGGCACTCGTATTATACGGGCACTCGTCTCAAACGAGCACCTGTATCAAACGGGTACCCGTATCCCATAATCACATTTGATTCAAATGAATCGACAAGTTTTAAGCCCGTTTGCATCAAACGGGTCGACCAGCTTGCCACCCGTTTGTATTTTAAAGGTTTTTTTTTAGTAGGGGGTCTATTTGACTCGCATCTGGGTATCTGTGTAGCGCCTGTGGAAAGGAGCGCGCGCTCTTTGGGTAACGTCTGCACAAAGAAAATTCGTCAGTTTAGTTAAACCGTTTTTGTGTTATCATTGCCTGGTTGTCATTGCCCAGCTAAGCCAGCTCTTCCCGATTTAAATAAAACGCCCTTTCTAGGTTGTGTAAGACGTTTTAAAGATTAACGATTGATTAATCGGTAATCTGGATTGCTACCTTTCCTCTTCCAGATGCAACGAATGCGGGAAGGGGATATCGAGTATTTCAAGAAATACTATAGGATGACCCCACACCAGTTCGACCTCATCTTGAGCCTTGTGCATGAAGGCTTGAGACGGCAGCACCTCTGTAGAGAGCCCATCTGTCCTGCGGAGCGTCTTGCTATGACACTGAGGTAATATAATATTCAAGACAGCGTGATCAATCATGGAATTATCTTTGCTTGCACATACCGGCTGCGGCGTAAGAAGCAACAGATTTCAAACGCCTTGAAAGAAATTTCAAATGTGCACGCCTGAAGATTGGGCACACGAACGTCTTTTTGCCAAAGGATTTATGTGCCTAGTTTTGCAGACATCAACTCAGAAGTGGGGGATTGTAAAAAATATATCAAATATGGCAGCGGTGC